CTATACAGATGTACATATTTGAATGTACAAGTACACGCAGACATACGCGTATAGAAGTATGACTGTGCTCACTTTTTTCCAGCCCTCGGCTCACAGATGAACTGCCAGGAACGGACCATCTCCGTAATAATATAGGACCCCACCGGGCTAATCGTCAACATCTTCGCTTTGGGATTGAGATAATTTGTTCAAAATTGAGCCCATCCCTTCCCCCCCCCCCCTGTCCTTTTCTCCCAAACATTCAACTCCTATTTCGGATTTCCTACCCCAGGAGCTTTTCTCATCCCCTTTGCTATTTGTTGTGGTCGTTTTCGCGCTCCGTTGTTCAGGGAGACTTGCCCTGTCACAGGCTGTCAGTGACATCTCGTTGTCTGGCGTCAGTAGTACTCAGTACCCCACATCTCTCCGCGCCCACAGCCCACATCTCTCGCTGTTGTTGAGTGTGTGTGTGTGTGTGTGTGTGTGTGTGTGTGTGTGTGTGAGCGTGTGTGTGTGTGTGTGTGTGAGCGTGTGTGTGTGTGTTTTAATGTTTTTTGGAAAGCTTAAGAATTTATTGCAATATAATTGAGGGGAGGCCGGGAACCTCACAATTCAACCCGGAGTGATCCTGGCAGCCATAGCCAGGTTTCGCTTACGAGCCAAGCTCGACAACCAAACTAGCTGGGAGTGCTCAAAATAGTCTCAATCCACCTGCTGGAAACCGGGTCCAGCGTCCCAAACTTAATCGCTTTCCAAAAGGTGAAAACTTCGAAGCACAGAAAATGTGAGCTATCTGATGGAACAAGAGCAGTGATTCCTATTGGTTCAGTGTTTCTCTATACCTCCGCCAGTCTTCTCCTACATTCCCACGTAACCCACGTTACACATACAAACACACGCACACACACCAGAAACACGCACAGGTGCATCCATCAAGGGAAGGAGGCAAGTGCAGGGACCAGTCCTGATTTCGCGGGGCTGCTTCAACGGGGTGCGCCTCAGAGTCTGCAGAAAGCCTGGATATGGGCCTCGCTCCACCACTCTCGAAATGTGCAAAACGAGAGTGAATCTTACGCTAGAACAAGGAAAGATACATAGCCATGATTTTTGTGTTTCGTGCATTTCCGGAGTTACTGTAGTGGAGCGACGCCCTCCTATTGTCTCAACCCTCCCCTGCCAATCTTTTCCAGTTTTCTTTTTTTTTTAATATTTAATTTCGTTTACTTTCATTTTAGAAATAAGCTGCCAAAAAAAAAAAAAAAAAAAAAAAAAAAAAAAAACCCTGCCTTTACGAATACCAGCACAGTGACTCTGAAGCTGTACTATAATAAAGGGCCCCGCTCCACTACTGTACGCTTTGGGCCTCGCTGCCGGCTCGAGTGCTGAAGGTAACTGTCATTATGTCCAGAATCAGACCACTACAACAACCCTCTCTCCACTACTGTTACTGTCTGCTGTTCGATGTTTATTTATTTTATTATTATTATTATTTAATATTATTATTATTATTATTATTATTATTATTATTATTATTTTTGGTTTAAAAATTAGGACCATTTCTCGATTTATGCGTGGACCGTAGTCAGAGCTAGAAAAAACTGTGTCCGTGTGCTGAAGGTCACCATGCACAGGGTGCCTGGCAGTGTGCCACTCATTACGACCATAGTTGTGCTCTGTGGCTATGGAGTTTGTGCTCTGTGGCTGTGGAGTTTGTCTAACGCCATTTACCCTCATGCATGCGTTGGGAGCGAGGGTATATGTGACCGAGATCGGCGCTCTATGGTGCATTTTTCGTCTTGAGATTTGTAGCCTTGATTGCATCGCTCTTTGGTAGTACCTTCATCTTGAAAGATTGCTTTCCTAAGGCTTCTTCACCTCTATCTCAAGATTGACATGCCTCTGTGGCAAAGATACGGCTTCTGTGGGCTCTTCCCTTTACTTTTTTTTCTTTTTTTTCTTTTTTTTTTAATTGATCATCTGCAGGAGCTGTTAGGTGTGGTGATACGAAGTATTACGAACGAACACCCACACCTAGCAGTCCGCTGGTAGGCGTCCATTAAATTGGTGGGGAGCACTGAGCAGCACCTTCTGGAATAGGGTCCAGCCTCCTGTTGATTGGCGCTGCAGTGGGCTTTTCAGGACCACCATGATGATCCTATGCCTCGTTTGTTTTTTCTGTTGATTGAGGCTGGACTTTTGACCATCTGCTCTGTCGACGAGCTCCGATTCTGTGTGTCGTATTAGATTGCATGTTTTGAGCGGTAAGCCCTCTCCTTGTTGTTCCTGATTGGTCCTGTGGGCGGTAAAAAGTACTAAAAACCCCTCCCCTTCATTCCTGATTGGTCCTGTCACGGGTGATGAGTCTGATGACTCGCTTCCTAATCTAATGTGAAAGCAAGTGGCCACCAACGGTAGGCTCTACCATCATGATGTGGAAGGGCAGCAACTAAAGATGAATCGCTTCCTAATCTGAAAAAAAGTGGGCAGCAATTGTGGGCTCAAGTCGAATTATCTGTTAATAACTTAGTATGAGAGGCATTGAGAGCCGTTTGATCTTTTGTGGGTGACTTCTTCTTCAAACTCTCTCCAGTGCTAGTAGGTGGTGATGGTAAGAGCAGACACCGTCACACCGGTACCACCTGGAGAGAGGCTCCATCTATTGAATCAGATGGGGATGCCTGTCCTGTTACTTGTTCCCCTTCCCCTACTTATAGGTCTAGATTTCAATTTGGTTTCTCTTGTTTGGCCACTTTGCATATGAACATCATCATCATCATCATCATCATCATCATCGATTCATCATCATCATCATCATCATCATCATCGTCATCGATTCATCATCATCATCATCATCATCATCATGGTGTTCGTTTTGTTAGTTTTCGTCATCTTAGCGTTTGCCCAGTTACACGTTTTTTTGACATTTTTGGAATTTAGGGTTAATCATGGAATTTAGGTTTTTAGTAACTTTTACCTATTGTTTGATTTTTCGTTGGGTGGGAATTCCAGTTCCTGTTGGAATTTTTGGGTATAGTTCCTGTTGGAATTTTTGGGTATAGTTGGTTATTGTAGGGTTGCTTAGTAAAAACATAAAACTTAAAAAGTTGATTCAAAATTTGGGCTTTCGTTTAGCCTATTGTTGATTTTTTTTTATTTTTATTTTTTTTTGGCTGGAATTCTCTGTTGAAATTTGTGTAATTCATTTGGTAGCATCATGGCATGGGTACTTCTTTGGGTACTCTTTTCCATAGTTCGGGGTTTTTGTTGGTAATTTTTTGGGTACGGGTTTTTGAAAAACTGGGGGGGAAAAGGATTCTGTGAATTCGGGTCTGTTAGGATTTCCTCGGAACTATCAGTTCTCTTTTTTTTTTTTTTTTTTAATCGTTATACTTTGTATGGAGCTTTATGGGCCCCTGCTACAGGGCGAGGGGCTCTCGCCTGAGGTAGAGAGGGCGAAAGGCCTTGGGAATTGTGCCTGCGGTTAAGGGCCTTAAGGCCCTTGAGGGGTGAGAGGCCATGCCGCCCC